AGCGGCCCACCTCCTACTTAATACTTCCGGTCTATAATTTAAACAGACGCGTAAAATGCAACAGCATAATTCAGCTTATCGATTGGCAAGAGGAGTATATAGGAAAACACTCCCGCAAAATAACGCCCACTGTCGGTTTCGCTATGCTTAGGGTGACAGGTAATTAACAGTCCACGTTATACAGTTCGAACGAAAGACCACGTGATTTGCAAGCAGGGTACATTCATTAAAAGTATTTTTTTGTTTAGCTATTGGTACATCCTATGGCACTCTCGCACATGTGAGACTAAAGCTGTCCCCTAAAATTTTATGTTCTGTACGGAGACCAGGTCTCGCGCCACGTGCGCGTGCATACGAACTATTGAATTCTGTGTCAACGAATTGCATCCAATCTCAGCTTGAAATGGCTGATCAGAATGGAAGAGTACTGATGCACCAGGCAGGGAAGAGAGTGAGGCCGGTTCTGGGACTCCAATCCCATTTCACATTAGTGCACTATCCATTAGTGTACTATCTAAAAGTCGCGACCTGCAAGGCTGTCAAATGACGGGATAACGCTTCTCAGGTTGTAATATCTCTTTCTCAAGTATACCTTTACGATACTCCCACGAAGGTGACATTCGAGCCGAACACTTCTTTTAATTCAGAAGAATATCTGGCGAGCATACCTAGCTCTCGATAAATTCTCTTCAGGCCATTACATTTATATAGGGAGGGGGTCAAAAGTAACATGCTGGCAAGTATGTTCATCTTTACAAGCAAATTAGTCATGGGAAAAGGGGATGGGGGTGGGGTTTATAGTACTCGGCTGGTTGCGAGGCCATGAGGGTTTGTTGAATCCGAACAGAGAACCGGATCAAGGAAACCGGACAAGGAACTATTACTAAAATGCACATTAAATGTGCAGTTCCTTCTTGACAACCAACTCTATAGACAAATAGAAGGCTTCGCTATGGGCTCATCTCTTAGGCCTCTCTTGGCTAACATCTTCATGGGCAAGCTGAAGAAATGACGACTTGGCGAGCAGATCCATGAGTCAAAATACTATGGTCGATATGCCGATGATATTTTCGCCATCGCCCCGACAGAAACCGATGTAAATGCGCTTCTAACTACTGCTAATCAAGTACACCTTGGAAGTGGAGACGGCAGGTTCGCTTCCTTTCTTGGATGTCCTCCTAAGTCGAAGACCTGACGGTAGCGTCCGACGGAGCGTTTATCGAAAGAAAATCTGGTCTGGACAGTATACAAATTTTAACAGTTTTGTACCTATCCAAAAGAAGCGTAACTTGATCCATTGCTTAACGCAAAGAGCCAGAAAATCTGCTCAGCAGACACTATTGAAATGGAGTTCCAGAAACTACA